CCCTTCCCACCGACTTCAGTGGCCACAGACATGCCCAGCGGGAAGCCCGGCCCTGCCCCTGCAGGCGACTCTGCTGACTCCCCGCCTGTGACTGCCAATGGCTCCAGGGGGCCGGACCTTCCCGCAGAGCTCATGGCTTCCTCGCCGGGGACTTCTCCGCTGCCCGCCCCGTGGGGTCCAGGGCAGGCCGCCCTTCCTGGGGAGAATCCCGCATCGCCGTCGGAGGCACCCCCGGTGCCCGCTCCCCTCCCTCCCGCAGAGACCCGCGCCTCCCAGGCCCCAGAGCCAGAAGTGCCCAGGCCTCAAGAGGAGGGCGGGGGCAGGTCCGCCCTGACTGCAGCCACAGGCCTCCCTCGCCCCAGCAGAGCCCTTGTTCTTGCCACGGCTCGGCGGCCGCCCCTGCAGAAAGAAGACAACCAGACGGCTTCCATCAGGGAAAGTGAAGTGGCGGCCGTGGCGGGTCCTCTCCGGGCCCTTCCGAGTCCTCACACTGGACCTGGCTTCGTCTCTGACATGCTCATGGCTCACACTTCATCTCCCATGGCGGCAGCACCGAGAACAGATCCCCTTGCTGCTGGGTTGTCCCCACCTTCCACGCGTTCCCTACAGACAGCCCACGCGGTGTCCCCACCTCGTGCATTTTCCAAGCCCACACCAGAACATCCCTCAGCTGCCGTGGACCCTTCCAAGGCAGCGGCTCCCTCTTCCAGGCAAGCGACAGCAGTCGCCCCCTCCACGGGTGTCTCGGCCACGGGGGACAGGAGAAGGTCAGCCACAGACACTTCCTGGCGTCCTCTCACAGTGGAAGCCGGGCCCCCTTCCAGGGCCTCGGCACTGTCTGGCATGGAGCCACAGACACGTGACGACTCACACAGACCCATGAGTGGCCCTGCAGGTTGGGAAGCTCGTTCAGCTTCAGCGACTCTGCCCAGGGCTACAGCTTCTGCTGCCAAGGCCATCAGGTCTCAGGATCTCAAAGACGCGACTGGACATCCAGAGACCTCAGAAAGCCTGGGCATGCAGGGCCCAGGCCTCGACGCCAACACCGGCCAGCCCACACAACAGTCAGGCATGACCGTGGTGGGAAACCATATAGGCCTCTGGGTCACGGGCAGTGACCACCGTTCCAGAGACTTCGTGGCAACAGAGGCAGAGCGCTCCCCATCCACGAGTGCACGCCCGGCATCCCAGCCTCCCCTGTGGTCATCCCCTCAGCTGGCATGGCCTCTGTGGTTCACCGCACCCAGTCTGACCTCCACACACAGCTTGTGGGAGATGCTCTCAGACCGGACAGGGGCAGGTTCCCGCACTCCCAGTGTCATCAGCCCGTCACTCCAGACTGTCCCGAGCGATCACTCCACTGCTGAGCCTCCTCTCATACCGATGGGCGCCTCCTCCAGCAAGCCCTCCCAAGGGCCACGGGCTTCTCGGTGCCCCAAGAAATGGACAGGTGCAGCCACGATTGCAGGTAGTTTGCTTCCTGTCGCCCAGAGAGCAGGGATGGCGGCTCTTGTGGCCAGAGCACCTTCCAGCTTGACACAGACGCCAGCTTTGCTCCTGGGGAGCTCAGAGGTGGCCCTGTTAGTCGTGCCTTGGGTCCTCTGCCCACTGGGTCTTTGGAAGTGTTCAGGCTCTAAGTATCCCCATTGTCAGCCATGGTAGTGCCATGGGTGGCCTTCTTACCACCCCTGGTCGCCTTATGGAGCCTGAGGTCATCTTGTCTCAGCTTCCCCCACCGCAAGCTGCATGCAGACCTCTCCTCTGGGCAGACCCATAATCACATCCATCCTATGTTCAGCATGGTGGTGTGTGTGTTTGGGCCCATGACACACTCTGCTTTTTCTCTCTTTGCAGTGGACGTCTCAGTGTCCTCCACGGTGGAGCCAACCACCACCGCGGCCACCATGCTTCTCCTGCAGAAATCGAGTCCCGCTGCCCTGTCTGCGGCCCTGGTTGCTAAGGGTACCCGCGGCAACCCCGTGGCCACGGCCTCAGGATCAGCCAAAAGCACCTCAGCTGCCACTCTCGCCAAAAATGTCACCAACAGGGTGGCATCTGGCCTGCAGGCAACCCCGGGGGCGGTCCACACAGCCTTCCCGCTCACGCCGGCCTACATGTTTGCGAGGACAGCGCATGCCCTGAGCACACACACAGCCATGCAGGCTGACGCGGGCACCGCCCCTGGCCCGCTGTCTGCCACGGCCACCCCCAGGAAGCCACCAGCCATGCACACCAGCCTCACCAGCCCCACCAGCCCGGAGGCACCCAGAACCTCCACGCTGCGCCCGCTGTCAGGCACGGCAGCGTTGACGTCCATCACGGCCTCTGCGAGGTCCACCCGCTGGCCCCCGGTGCGGGCGGAAAACACAGATACCGCTCTTTCAGCTGCAGTGGTCACGACTGGCAAGGTGGCGTCCGCCCTGGAGTGTCAGATGTCCAGTAAGCTCCTGGTGAAGACGGGTACGAGCCCACTGTCCCTCTGATTTCACTAGAGAGCAGCGCGCCCTGCCGTAGACACACAGTCATTTTTTATTTATGTCGAGTTGGGGTCTCACTCTGTCGCTCAGGCTGGAGTGCGGTGACACGATCATAGCCCACTGCAGCCTCGACCTACTGAGTTCAGGTGATTCTTCCACCTCAGCCTCCTCAGTAGCTGGGACTACAGGCATGTACCACCACTCCAGGTTAATTTTTAAAAATTTTATTTCATAGTGTCTTGCTATATTGCCCAGGCTGGCCTTGAATTCCTGGACTCAAGTAGTCCTCCTATCTCAGTCTTCCAAAATGCTGGGACTACAGGCATGGGCCACCACGCCCACCTGTTTTTCCTTGAGATAACTGGTTCTCAGCCAGGGGTTATTTTGCCCCCTTTCCCCAGGACAACTTGGCCACGTCAGTAGACATTTTTGGTGGTTGTTCACGGAGGGGGTCCTGGTGGAATCTAGTGGCCTAGAGGCTGGGGACATAGCAAAATGTCCTGCAGCAGATGGTGCAGCCCACACCCGGAATCATCAGCCTAAAACTCCTATAGGGCCGAGGGTGAGAAACTGTGACCTTCAGCACGTGTCCCGAGGGCACGTGTCAGGGACGGGGGATTCTAGTCCCAGTCTGTGCCGATGGCGGAAGCCCCTGGGAACCACTGGCAGGTGGGCCTAACAACCAGATGTGCCCTGTTTAGCCTGTAGCACCTCAGTGATGTCTCCCACAATGAATGGTGCAATTTGTGAAATGCAAAATCTGGGGAAGCCGCAGAGTCCAGAGGGCGTTTTGCCATGTGTTTGGTTCTTGATCAGCAGATGGTGAAGGTGCAGCTCCTCACACAGTGTGGGTCAGTCTTGCCACAGATGTTAGAAAGATGTTTCTTGAAAAGGGGGCGGTCAGTGCTCTAGTGGTGAGCTCAGCCAGATGATCTTTCCAGCCCTCCCCAGGGGTAGAAGCAGGCCCAGGACGCATGGGGGCTACCCGCAGCGTGGCAGTGTCTGCCATAAGAACATCAGACAGTTACGTGAAGAGCGCACTCCCCCCTGCCTTCCTCCTCCCACACAGAGGATGAAGTGACACAACGTTTTGTGATGCATTCTGCTCTAAAGCCGGACATTGTGAGCCGGGCTCGCAGACGGTCAAGGGCGTCCTTCTATTTCCCAAGACACTGTCCCGTTGGGGCTTTCACTCCCATCCCCCTGGAACCCAGCCCTGGACCCCAGGTGCAGAAGGTATCTCTCTGCTTCCCCACCCTCCTACCCAACTGCAGGGATCAAGCACTAGTTTCCTCTGCTTCCACCTCCTGAATACCTCCCTTCCCCAGCCCAGTTCACCCCGCCCTTTCCCTAGCACACACAGCATCACAGCACCCCTTCCCTGTTCACACCACCCCTTCCCTCATGAGCACGATCGTCACAATACCCCTCCCCCAGCCCAGTTCACACCACCCCTCTCCTAGCACACATGATCATCCCAATATCCCTTCTCCCCACCCTAGCTCACACTGTACCTCCCTGGCACACACGATCCTCACAATAGCCCTTCACTCCCACCCAGTTTACACTGCAACCTCCCTAGCATATGTGATCGTCCCGAGACCCCTTCTCCCCAACCCAGTTCACCCCGCTGTTTCCCTAGCTCACACGATCATCACGACACCCCTTCCCTCCACCCTAGTTCACACTGCCACCTTCCTGCACACGTGATCATCACAACACCTCGTCTCCCCAGTGCGGTTCACCCCTCATACCGTTCGCCTATGCCTTTGCCCCACCCCAGTGCACACGGCTCCTTCCCCAGCTTCACTGGATCATCACAAGGCCCCTTCTCCCTGTCTCAGTTCACACCACTGCTTCCCCAGCTCATGACCGTCACGATGCCCCTCCTTCCCACCCCAGTTCACACCACCCCTTTCATAACACACATGATTGTCACAATGCCCCTTCTTTCTGGCCCAGCTCACACTGCCCCTCCCCTAGCTCACACGACCATCCCGAAATCCCTTCTCCCTGTCTTGGTTCACACTGCCACTTCCCTACCATGCACGATCGTCCCAACACCCCTTTTCACCCCAGGTCACACTGCTGCTCGCCTAGCTCACACGACCGTCAGAGAGCCCCTCCTCCCGGCCCCAGTTCAAACTGCCCCGTCCCTGGCACACACGATAGTCACAATATCCCTCCTCCCCTTCCCAGTTCACATTGCCGCCTCCCTAGCTTGCATGATCATCACAATACCCCTCCTCTCCACTCTGTTCACACCAACCTTCCCTCCCTCACACAATCGTCACACCACCCCTTCTCTAGCTCACACGATTGTCACAGTACTCCTCCTCCCCACCCCGGTTCACACCACTCCTTCCCTAGCTCACACATTCAACACCACTCACCCCAGTTTCGACCACAACAGCCAAACGTAGCCCTTTGCCTTCAGCTCCCCGATCTGTTCTTCCGTCTGCAGTTGAGGGAGCTTTCTAGAGCGCATTCCTTGCTGGAAACGCTTCAGGTCCCATGGCCCTGAGGCCCAAGCTTCCACAAGCATGGGGTCCCCCTTGTCTGTGGGGAGAGGCATGCATTCTTGACCCCCACACACTGTTCCTATACTTGCATATCAATGAGGAAGCTTAATTTATAAACAAGGCCCGGGAAGAGATGGACAACAGCAACTAGAAATAAAATAGAGCAAGTATAGCAAGACGCTTGATGAGACTTACAGGCCGTAGCCTCACTCACCTTCTCAACACATCTTATGGGGCCGTGCACACCTGTTTTCAGGCTGCAATACATGAGACCGTGGAGGTGGCTGTGGGTCCGGGAGCCGCTGTGGAGGGAAGCAGTTCACCTCCTGCCCTGGGCCTTGGCACCGTGCTCCCTCCTGGGGGGCAGTCTCATGGCCCTGGTCTGGCTCACAGCTGTGCATTCTGTGGCAAGAGCCTGTTCCCCATCCCTGTCTCCACCCCACCTGCAAGGTGGGGATGGCACCTTTCTGATCCAGGTTCCACCTGTAGCCTGCCCATGACTGTTGTTGCAGGCAGACCCATCTGGGACAGGCTCTGCCGAGTCAGTTTTTTTTTTTTGGCGACAGGGTCTCGCTCTGTTGCCCAGGCTAGAGTGCAGTGGCATGATCACAGCTCACTGCAGCCTCCAACTCCTGGGCTTAAGTGATCCTTCCAGATAGCTGAGGCTACAGGTATATAAATCACACCTGCTAGTTTTCAAAATGTTTTGTAGTAATGGGGTCTCACCCTGTAGCCCCGGCTGGCCCTGAATTCCTGGGCTCAGGCGATCCTCCCGCCTCAGCCCCCCAAGTAGCTGGCTATAGATGCCAACATACCTGCTGTTTTAATTTTTTTTTTAAGAAACAGAGTCTCACTGTGTTGCCCAGGCTGGTCTCCAACCCCTGGGTTCAAGTGTTCCTCCCACCTCAGCCTCCTGAGTAGCTGGGACTACACACGCCTGCTAATTTTTAAAAATTTTTGGTAGATGAGGCCTTGCCATGTTGCCCAGCCTGGTCTTCAGCAACTGAGCCCAAAGAATCCTCCCACCTCAGCCTCTCGAATAGCCGGGACAACAAGTGCACACCACCACGCCTGGCTCTGAACCGGCTTCCGAAGTCAGAGGCCACCTCTGTTAGGAATGGCGTGCCATCGGCATGGCATGCCCACTCTCCAATCGGGCCACACAACAGAGGGGCCTTCTTTTCTTAGGACTCACCGGGACCCCAGAGCTCTCGGGCCAGGCCTGTGCCTGCCAGCCTCGCTGGGTGGCGGTGATGGCTGGGAGGGAAGGGGCCTGCTGGCCGGGGCCGCCGCTCTGCCTGACGCGGGCCTCCCTTCCGCCCGCAGTTCTCTTTCTGACCCAGAGGAGAGTGCAGACCAGCGAGTCCCTGAAACTCAGCGTGGCCAGAGGGCTCACCCAGGCGCTGCGGAAGGCCTTCCACCAGCATGACGTCTCTGCCCACGTAAGCCCTCGCCCTGCCCCAGGGGCCCCGCTCATGTCGCCCTTGCGCTCCAGATGTGTTCGCATGGGTCCCTCCTTCCGGGGTGCATGGCCGGGCTGGCCAGGAGTGGCACGGGCCTTCCTTCTGGCGCGGAGTCAACGTGTGTGGCTGAAGGAGAGGCCTGGACTTCGAGATGGGAAATGGAGGCCAGCTGCTGTGTGTCCAGGTTTCTTTGTGAGGCCTGAATGCACCCTTCTAAGCCGTCCTGCCCTCCCAGCATGGGGAAGAGCGTCTGTATTGTTTGTGTTACTCTCTAGAAACAATCTGTGGCATTTGCCACCTTCCCTGACACTGGAAAGAACGATTTATTTCTGAACAGTTAACAATGATCCCCACTGGCAAATTCAGTCCGATGTTGCTTAAATCGCCAGCAGCGGACGGGGAAGGAAACATTTTTCTTTTAGTGCTAAGCACCGTCTGACGAGCGCGGGCCGGTTTTGATGGCATCCCCAAGTGACGGAAGCTTGGCCCTGCCCTCCCTGGGACTGATTCCCGGTGTCCCGGCAGTCCACATGGCTGTCTGGCGGCAGGTTCCCTCCTGCACCTCTAGCAGTGTCCCTGGGTGTTCTGTCTTCCAGCGGCCTCTGTGGGTGGTGCCCTTCCCCATCATGCCGAGGACTAGCAAGGAGACTTGGCACTGAGTTTGCTGGCCATTGTCAATCTCTTTTATACATTCTGAGAAGGAGAGAAAGGCAAGCACTCAGGAGAGGCTTCCACGGTTTCTGCACCAGAAGCTCCATCTGGGAGTTGAGAATGTGAATGCACCAAGGAGTTGCCTGATAGCTTCGTGCAACCTCAGTCATTCTCAGACGACTCCTGCAATCTGGGTCTTTTCTGCACATTCTGCTGTGACAATTGCTATTTGGTTTTTTTGTTTTTTGTTTTTTTTTTAAATGAGCTCACTTTTAAGACTTGCATACGTTTCTTTTGAAAGGACATTTGAGGTCACCACCGCAAACGGAAACCAGGGTCACTCGCCACAGATAAAAGAGTTGTGGTGAAAATAAGAAAATGGAAACCAGATGCCGCCTTTGGGGCAACTGTATTCAGTGATTTGCTCCCAGTTGTGAGAACATGCAGTATACGATTTTCTGTTTTGGGGATAATCGGCTTAGGATGATGGTCTCCAACTGCATCTGTGTTGCTGCAGAAGACATGCTTTTGTTCTTTTTTATGGCTGTGTAGTATTTCATGGCATGTGCGGACCACATTTTCTTTATCCAGTCCACCATTGGTGGCCACTTAGGTTGGTTCCTTTTGCCATTTTGAATAGTGCTGCAATGAACATGCGTGTGCAGGCGACTTTTTGGTAGAATGATGTATGCTTCTTAGGGTGTATTCCCAGTAGGGAGGTTGCTGGTCAAATAGTAAATCTATTTTCAGTTCTTTGAGAAATGTCCAAGCTGCTTTCCACAAGGGTTGGACTCGCTGACATTCCCACCAGCAGGTAGAGTGTTCCCTTTTTTCCACAACTTCACCGACACCTACTGTTTTTGCCTTTTTAGTAATAGTCATTCTGAAGGGTGTGAAATGGAATCTCGCTGTGGTTTTGATGCACATTTCTGTAGTGGTTAGAAAGGCTGAGCATTTTTTCTATGTGTGTTTTCCTTTGAGGGTGTCTGTTCACGTCCTAGTCCCCCTTTATAATGGGGTTGTTTGTTTTCTTGTTGATTTAAATTCTTTATGGATTTGGGATATTTGTCTTTGGTTGGATGCAGAGTTTGCAAATGTTTTCTTCCACTCTGCAGGTTGTCTGTGAACTCACTGATTTTTGTTTTTCCTGGGCAGAAGGTCCCAAGTTTGATTAGGTCCCACTTGGCAATTTTGGTTTTTCTGCAGTTGCTGCTGAGGTCTTGGTCACGAATGCATATTAGCTTACAAAAAGGGATTGGCGAGGGTTAGCAGAGACGTTGAAAGCAGGTAGTCATTGAGCTGAGACTTATTCACTGAGGTGATGGGAAGGGCTGAAGTGACCAGCTCTCTCACGGGATGGCATTGTGATGTTCTGTGCTGGGTCTGTGGTCCGACCTGAATAATCTTGTCCTGCCTATGGTCACCTTGCATGCTACCTGTGGGGAGCAAGCCCAGGGACACTCACGTTGGGGCACAGAGGCCCAGTTGGCCTGCTGCAGGATTGGTTGTCTGCTGCCTTTGGAAAACACACACATGACACTGCTGGTGGAGATGCCAGAGTGAGGGAGAGCGGGTGTCCTCCTTGAGTTCCCGCTTTTTGAGAGGAAGAGAGGTCAAGGCGGACGGCGAGAGTGGTTGTGCGCCATCAGGAGTGCACTCATACTGCCGAGCGGCGTACGAGAGAGCAGGTCGACGGTTGTGCACACGTTGTGTGTGTTTTACCACAAAGAAAGGAGAAGGGGGAGGTTGGAGCCACACGCGCACGTGTGTGTGTGTGTGTGTGTGTGTGTGTGTATGCACGACCCTCTTCTCTGTTTTCCAAATGTACTAATTCCATAATGTATAGGTAATACATACAAAATTCAAAAGAAACAAAACACCACCCTGAACTAACATACAACACCAAGAAAGCGAAAACAGCAAATGGGGACAAAATGTTAAAGCCTCAAAATCTCGCAGTGAGAAGACGGGCTCAGGTCCCCCGTGTCCTTGGGATGGAGCCACGGGAGACACCCTCTTGTCCTCAATCCGTCCCTGCCTTGGCTTGGGGCCAATTTACAAGCCAGGATGGGTTAGGTCTGGACAGCATTCTCGCTGCCTCCCAGGGAGCAGGTTTACTTGTTTCCATCTTGACCCCTGACCCAAAGGTGCCCCTCAGGATGTCCCCTCTGCCTTTCAATCCTCACACGTGAGGAGGAACAGGACGCAGCTGTTCTTCCAGCGTCCCGCTTGCGGGAAACCTCTGGCCTGCTGCCTCCTCTTGGCCTCTCTGGTAACCCTTGACACTCTTGGGATCATGCCGAGGTCCTTAAAGAACCAAGAAATGCAGACGTGCCTCGACCCAGGTGGGTCTGATGTGGAGTCTGTTTTGTCCTACTATGCTATTCTAAGACTGGCCTGTCCACGTGTGCCCCCCCGGATTGGTGAGAACACCCATTGAATGAGAACACTTCGTGCTCCAGCCTGGCTGGGGACAGTTGAGGCTCCAAGAAACACCCGGAACTCAAAGTACTGTGGAAATGAATGCTGAGTTCTGCAGGTCTGTTTGTTTTGTAGGTGGACGTTCTGGAACACGCTCAGAACATCACGGTTGGTTATTATGTGACCCGAGGGCGACTGGTATATTTGCCCACTGTGGTGGTTGAAGTGCTGGGTGTTTACGGCGTCAGCAACGTCACTGCAGACCTCAAGCAGCATGCCCCGAGCTTACAGTCTGTGGCCGTCCTGGCTGCCCCGTGGACTCCCCAACCTGCAAGCAACTTCCAGCTGAAAACAGGCAAGTAACTCAGAAAAAAGGGATTCTTGCTTGTCCCAGAATCAGAGCAGAGCCGAACTGACACTTGTTTAGAAACATTGCTCTGGCTGGGTGCCGTGGCTCTCACCTATCATACCAGGACTTTGGGAGGCTGAGACAGGAGGACCACTTGAGCCTAGGAGTTCGAGACCAGCCCGGGCAACACAGTGAGACCCTGTCTCTACACAAAGTTAGTCAGGCGTGGTAATGCACGTGTAGTTCCAGATACTTGGGAGGCTGAGGTGGGAGGATTGATTGCCTGAACCCAGGAGTTCAAGGCTGCGGTGAGCCAGGGTCATGTCATTGCCCTCCAGCCTTGGTGACAGAGTGAGACCCCGACTCACAAAAACAAGAAACAAATAACCAAACAAAACTCCATTGCTAGCTGCTCTGTTGTTGCTTAAAGTCCCTGGGTACCTTCTTCAAAGGGCCGTGCTCATCGAGTGCCCAGACTCCCTACCCATCGGCCTAAGCTTTTCCAACTCTGGATTTGTTAGGGATGTCCTATCACAGGAGACGTCCTTCCCAATTAAGGACTAGTACCTGTGAGCGCCAAGTACTGTATTTTATGTCTCTCTCTGTGTTGCCATGGATACCACGGAGTGCGGAGCATCTGTGAGGTCCAGATGCCGCTGAGTCCGAGTCTCTGGGTTCAGGCCTTGGCATTCTTCTCCCTCCTAGACCCCCCAGTGCCCACTGGTCTGCGGAGTTTGTAAGCTACAAGAGTAGAGAACGATGGGCATTGAAGCACTCCATCAACTTGGCCGTGGAGGTCATTTGATTTCTTTTTCCCTCCAGAGAAACAGAAGGCACCATCCCCTCTGGGTTTCGATGTGCTGGCCACTGAGCAGATGTCTGAATATTCCAGTCCAGTCCCATCATACACCTTCTACCTCGTGGGGAATGTCGGATTTGATGATCATGCTTTTAACTCTGCTATGTTATCAATCCCTTAAGAACCACTTTCAAAGCTACAGCCAAACCTTGCCTGGCCTTACCATTTGTTTGCCTGGTTTCTCTCACGTGAGCTGCTGCTGTGTTATGTCGTGGCCGCCATTGATCTGAGGAGCCATGACGCAGGGCCATGGAGCGCTGACTCGTCCCTCTCGTTCCAGTGCTGCAGTTTGTGAGTCAGTCGGACAACATCCGGTCCTGCAGGTTCGCACAGGCCATGGAACAGAGGTTGCAGAAGGCCTTCCAGGATGCTGAGGGCAAAGTCCTGAATACCAAAAGCAATTTGACCGTCCAGGTAGGAGGGCACGTTGGGCTGCGTGGTCGGCAGACAGCCGCCGGGTAGATGTTGGCAAGAAACAGCACGGGGCCCCGTGACAGCTACCTTGTGTCCTCGAGCATGTGGTGCAGACATTTGCGGCACTGGAGAGGGCAGCCGGGTCCTGGATGTGGCAGAAAGGCTACGGTGTCCCCATGTGCCTGTGTGGGTTGGGGGTTTGGGGTTCTATTCCCAAGTGATGCTTCCTTGGACCTTTGCTGAATGTTTATTATTTTAGAAAGTTGGACTAGACTCTACTATATATGATATGTGGAGTGTCCGATGTCAAGTGCATAAATGAATCTATTTTAAGTGACTGACTCACTGAGATGGCCTCTTCTGTGATCTGCATTGGGTTATCTTCCAGTCGCCTTCATTTACACACACACAGACACATACTCATGTTCTATGTTGTACTAATATATCTGTAATAGTTTACACATACACACACACAAGCTCTATATTGAACTAATGCATCTATATTAATTTACAAACACATGCACATACATTCTATATTGTACTAATATCTATATTAGTTTTCACACAGATACACACTCACGTTCTATATTGTACTAATATATATTAGTTTCCACACACAAACATGCACTCACCCCACTCACGTTCTATCTTGAAGGCCTACTACGTGCCAAGTGTTTGCAAATATGTGGCTACACAATGCTTCAGATATTCTTCCGAGGTATTCTCACCCCCATTTCACAGAAGAAGAAACCAAGAGGTTGAGAAACTTCCAGGTCACACAGTTGGTAAAGAATGAGTAAAGAATGGGTGCAGTGTAGATGTGGGGCCCTCGAGGAAGCTTTTGGCAAGCACATGCCTTTTTCCCAAGGAAGCCCGCCCCCAGTGCACCGCGTCTCAATTCTCTGGACGAATGACATCCACGCTTCCAAGCACCTTTCTCAGCTCGCGTTTTGCAATTGTGTAGACATCAGCTAGCCAAGGGTGGCCACTGCTCAGGGCTATTCACCCAGCTCCAGCTTCCCTGATGAACCCTCTGTCCACGGTCTCGCCTTGGACTGCTGAATGCCTTTGCGGGGCATTCAGCAGTCCAACCCAGGGTTCCACCCGGGGTTCAACTCGAGTGGATCCCGGCAATGTCCAAGCGCTGTAGAAAGCCCATCATCAGCCTGAGCCAGCAGCTTTCTCCCCCATACTTCCCTAGAGCATGCATGAAAGCGTCTTGTGATGAGCTGCCTCACGTCAGACCAAGATCTAAAAATGTGTCACAGACTCAGAATGGATGTAAGGAGTGCGACAGCTCGGGTGGGAAATCTTCCTTCTGGTTGGCTCTGTGGTCCTCGCAGGGGCAGGGGCCTGGGAGGTCTTGGCAGCAGAGTGAGCGTAAAGTGCACTCAGGAAACATGGACTCCGGGAGTACCTGCGACTCATGGGGCCCTGGGAGAGACTCCAAGCTGCTCTCGGCCTTGGGAAGCCTTGTTTGTGTGTCATATGGTCGTTAGGGGCCATTCGATGGGACTTTTTGAGTCAAGTGACAAGCTCCCCTTGGAAACGACTGCCACGGGTGACTTAAGAGCTGCATCTGCAGAGATTTTAGATGCTCTTGAAATGAACAGACAATCGGGTGAATAGTTGGACCAGCCCCATTTCCCCTTTTGCCTTGGCTGAGAGGAAGCCCAGAGCCAGATTGGTTGCGTGGCCTTGGTAACTCTCTGTGCCTCCCATATTATGCATCCATCACTGCGTGCTAATCACCGCCCCCCTCCCCAGGACGGTCTTCCATCTGGTTTTCCAGGATCTAGTTTTGTAGTTAATAACTTTTCATTTTATTTTGTGACATGTGATTTATAAGGCACCTGGAATCTTTTGTGGAATAAGAGCCTGTAAATATTTAATTCATTAATTTATTCTGAGAGTTGTTGAAAAATTGACTTTTTTTTTCCTGCTTGTATAGCTTTATCAACAGGGGCTAGATGACAGTTAACCCAGTTAGGACTTTTTTGGTTGCAAGTGACAGAGTCTAAGCTTACAAGATTTAAGCAAAAAGAAGAAGCAATTGAGTTGGAGACCTGGGCAACATAGTGAGACCTCATCTCCTACAAAAAAATTTACAAAAATTAGCTGGGAGTGGTGGTACATAACTGTAGTCCTGGCTACTTGGGAGGCTGAAGCAGAAAGATCAGCCTGAGCTCAGGAAGTTGAGGCTGTAGTGAGCTGTGACTGTGCCACTGTACTCCAGCCTGGGCAACACTGAGACCCCAACTCAAAAAAGAAAGAAAGAGAGAGGGAGAGGGAGAGAAAGAGGAGGTGGGAGGGAGACGGAAAGAAAGGAAAGAAGGAAGGAAGGAAGGAAGGAAGGAAGGAAGGAAGGAAGGAAGGAAGGAAGGAACCGTAGCTTCTGTCCTCACCTCTCACCTTCCACCTGCCCATGCCGTGATTCCTCAGCTCGCTGGATCCCCACCTTCTACTGACCCAGCCCCCATCTCCCTCCCATGACAGTACCATGTGCCCTGGGAGCCACCTCTCCTCCCCTCCCTGTCCATATGCTCTGGGTGGAACTGCCCCGCCTATGTGGCATTGGCAGTAGTCAGAGCCAGGCCCCGTGGACGAGGGTATCTCATCTCCTTGGCCAGAGTTGCCATCCAGAGAGAGGCCAGTGGGGCCAGGACTTCTGCTGGAACAACGCAAAAAGGCACTTTGGCTCCACGAGACTGTGGGGACCAAGGCTGGGACCCACCTGGAGGGGCAAGGAACCCCCACAGGAGCTGAGGGCACAGCCTGGGGCAGGGCGAGCAGGAGATGCCACGAAGAAATCATCTTCTCACCCAGATATAGCTGAGCCAGCCGCATCTTCCTTCTTTCCTTCCCTCTCCCTCTTCCTCTCTCCCTGTCTCCCTCTCTCTCTTTCTTTCCTTTTCTTTTTTTTTGAATTGGTGTCTTACTCTGTCCCCCAGGCTGGAGTGCAGTGACACACTCACGGCCACTGCAGTCTCAACCTGCTGAACTCAGGCTATCCCTCTGCCTCAACCTTCCAAGTAGCTGGAACTACAGGCACGCGCCACCATGCCTGGCTAATTTTTTGATTATTGTAGAGACATGGTCTCGTCAAGTTGCCCAGACTGATCTCGAACCTGTGGACTCAGGCAATCCTCTCGCCTCGGCCTTCCAAATTGCTGGGATGACAGGCTTGAACCACTGTGCTTGGCCCACGAGACTCTTATCCAGTGGGATAAGATTGGTGGCACTGAACTTTGTTGAAAGGTGAAAACAGGGTGTTCTCAATAGTGAAGAAGGTTGGAGTGTTGTCTTTTCAGTTATTTTCTAGGAGGCGGCAGGGCGAGATCTTTCGAGTTGTTCAGGAGGAAGTGCCTGTCTTTTGGGGCCAAATACCTGCAGCTGCACCACATTCCAGAAACACCCCCGAAGAGCAGCGTGGTGCTGAGCAGAAACGTGGCTGGAGTTGATCATCAATCATGACCACACAGGCCGGGAGCTGTGGCTCACGCCTGTCATCCCAGCGCTTAGGGAGGCAGAGGTGGGAGGATCGCTTGAGTTCAGGACCAGCCTGGGCAACATAGCAAGACCTTGTCTCTACAAAAAAAACAGAAAAATTAGCCGGGCGTGGTGGAGTGTGCCTGGAGTCCCAGTTACTCGGGAGGCTGAGGTGGAAGGATTGATTGAGCCCAGGAGGTTGAGGTTGAGGCTGCAGTGAACCGTGATTGTGCCACTGCCCTCCAGCCTGGGCAGCAGAGTGAGATCCCGACGCAAAGAGAGAGAGAGAGAGAGAGAACCTAGGATCTGGACTAGACCATTAAAAAGGAGCTTTCAGTTATGGGAAAGGTGGGGAATAAAATAAAAGGAAGAGGCTCTCGGGACAGGCCTCTACGGGGCTGGACTCCCCGAAAACCCGGACCTGATCATTCTGCATTCTGTCACACGTGCCCCAGAAACATGTATGATATTAGTACCAATTCTAAAAATGTGAAAGCAATTTTAAAAGTAGCAGGAGAGGGCAGGACCTTTACATCTGAGCACGCGTGGGTCCAGGAAAGGCGGGTGTCAGCCGGTGTCCCAGCAGGAAGGAGGCCAGGAGTGAGGGGGGAGGTTCGTTCTGAGGCCCCCTCTGCAGAAGTGTGGGTGGGCCCTGCACAGCCACAGACAGCATGGGCCCAAGGCTCTCACCACGGCGGCCAGATGGGGTATGGGGGCGGGCACGCGGCCTGTTGGAGCCAACCCAGACCCGCCAGAAGGGAGGCTGGTGTCTGGACCCTGGCCTCTCCTCCCTGGCCCCTGCCCTCCTGTGTTTGGGGACCACAGAGGTTGTCCACAGAGCTGCCTTGGGGGGCAGGACAGGACAGAGGGGACACGAGGGTGCCTGGAGGGAGGGACACCCAGCGCAGAACCCCCAGAATGTCTGCCTGGTGCAGCAACCGCCTCTGCATATTTCCCAGATCTCTTCTGGGGGATGTTTTTGTCCACACAGTGACCCACAGAACCTCGCTTCCGGCAGCTGAAAACCAGCCTTAGACAAGATGCGAGAGCATCGCCTGGGATCGTTCACAAATTCTCTGCTGAATTAGGGACCCCTAGGGATGTGGCTGCCTGAAGTCTCTCGTGCTCCTCAGCCCCTTCCCTTGCTCTGCAGGGATGAGTCGGGATCGCTCCGTGCCTCCCTGGGCCTCCCCGAAACACTCCCCGGAAGTCTGACTCGTGTTTTCCCTGAGCAGCGGAGCCTCTTGGCCCCTAGTGCCCCTGGGCTCTGTTTTATATTTTCGGAATCATAAAAGTGAATGGAGGCAATTTAGCCCCGGGGAAAGCTACACACACCTGTGGCTCAGAGCCTGAAGTTGGGCGACTGGGTTTGAATCCTGACTGTGACTTACTCACTGTGTGACCTTGGGCATGTTCCTCGCTCGTTCTGGGCCTCAGTTTCCCCCTCTGTAAAAGGGGCTCGTAGCTGATACACCTCCTGGGCTGCCCAAGGCTTGAATGCGATGCCACGCCTGTAGCAGCCGAGTCGGGCATGTGCACGTGGGCGGGACACAGTGGCGCTGTTCCTCTTGTCTCTTTCTTGGGGTCTCCCTCCTGCTGCCCTCGAGTTCCACGGGACCCCCTCCTCCTGTGGCCTCCTGCATCTCTCACCGGGCATGCGTCCCCCCTCTTTCCTCCTGGTGCTGCAGGTGGTGAGCACGTCCAATGTGTCGCAGGCGGTCACCCTAGTGTACGTCGTGGGCAACCAGAGCGCCCTCCTCAATGGCACGGTGGCCAGCAGCCTCCTGGGCCAGCTCTCGGCCCAGCTGGTGGGCTTCCACCTGAGCTTCCCACCGCTCACCATCGCCGAACGTGAGTACGTCCCCTCCGGGGGATTGTGGCTTCCCTGGGGTCTTCTCTGTCTGTAAACATCTGGAGGGCCAGCCCACGCACTGCCTCTCACCTTCAGACCTCAGCCAGGGAGGTGGCGGGGGGCTGGGCCAAGGATCGGCTGCTTGCTCGTTGAAGGGGGGCACGGGGTGCCTGCTTCTTCCTGCGTCTCCCGTCTCTGGAATCCTGGCAGCCACCCTGGAAGGCAGGCGCAGAATCAGCCCCGCTTGGCAGAGGCGAAAACTGACGCCCCAAGAGGCATCACTGCTGCCAGCTCTCGTGTGGCTGGAGAGACATGGGGCCCAGTTGGGACCCAAGTAGCTGGCTTCCAGCTCACGATGCTGCCTGGGGGGCACCCGACCTCGGTACAGACGGGGCTGCCGGGCTTCCCCCTTTGATGCTGTCAGCAAGTGTCCTGGTCCCCACGCCTGCCCCACCTCTGGGCATCATCACACGTCACGTGCCATCCATACCCTGCGATGGGTTCCCGCAGTGTGTGGCCTGTCTCTTCTGGTGTTTCCGTTCCGGACCCCTTGTTGCCTTGCTGCGGGTGCAGGTTTCTGGGAGGGAACCTGGGTTTGTGCTCTTAAATGGAATCACTTCAAGTCCCAGGGCAAGTCATCTTCCTAAATACGAAGTTGTCACATCGTTCCCCTCGTGGTGACTTCTGATATGAGATGATGTCTGTGAATGCATTCGGCACGCAGCAGCCACTCAGAAGCTTGTTTGGACACGTGTTTGTGCAAGTGTTTGTAAACTTCCATGTAGCAAGGAACAATGACACGATCTGGTGAGAACAGTGCTGTCCTAGAGACGGCATGATGTCACACACAGCATGGGAAGACTTTTTGACTTTCCTTATTTTGATACTCAGGCAGTGGCTACAGTGAGATTGACTGGGCACTGATTATCTGCCGGGCGTGAACCCCGACCGTCGCCAGTCTTGTTAAAAACGATGGGCCTTTCCTTGCCAGCATGTGGCTACTAAGCTTATGTCCTTGACCTTGGAAAAGTCCACGGACGAGGTCATCATTCCTAAAAGCCTGAGTGTGGGGGGGTCATTTTTAAAGAGAAAGCTACCACGAACTCTGCTGTGGGTCCTGATCATGGAGTGACTCTATTTAGGAAGGTTTTAGTAGAAACACGGAAAGAACAGGGACCCACAGACCCCGAAGCGCTTTGTCTCAAGGAGGCCCTTAGAAGCCAGTCTTCTGAGCTGCGAGTTGGTTGCCGTGTGTGTATCCTGGAGTCCCCAAGAATCACAAAGCAGGATTTAGGCACCTGCTATTTGGCCATTTGTGTCTGTTCCCTTAATATATACAAATAAGCTGGGCACGGTGGCTCACGTCTGTAATCCCAAATACTTGGGAGGCCAAGGTGAGAGGATCACTTGAGGCCAGGAGTTCATGAACATACTGGACAACAGAGCAAGACACTGTCTCAAATAGAAAAAAAATAAACCAGTAGAAATAAACACACAAAACCGATGAGAGTCACTTGGTGTGTTTCCTGCTTGTTTCAGCCCTGGAATACCCCAACCTCGACATCTCAGAGACCACCAGAGACTACTGGGTCATTACAGGTAAGCTCTGCATTGCTGGCTGCCTTCTTCGAGCCAGACTGGAGGGGCAGCCTGCCCTTGCCACTCAGCCATCCTCGTCTCGAATGGGGAGGACCTGAGGGGCCCTGGGCACCTTCAGGGTGGGCACAGAAAGGACTCCACGAGGAGGGAGCGGTGAGGACGCTGAGCAGGGTAGTTTGCCCAGACGTCAGGGACCAAGTTGCAGGTGGAGGGCCGGGCCCTCGGCAAAACGGTTGAGAAGGAAAAGCAGAGCAGGGGGCCCTGAGCTGCGACTTCGGGTGGGAGTCAGCAGAAAAGCCCGTGGCCATGCCTGCCACTGTGCTGTTCCTGTGGAAACTCCCTGCAGCATGTGTCGTCATGAGTAAAGTTTGAGTTTAATGCAGCAGCATTGGAGATGTCACAGGCTAGGCTGGGCATGGTGACTCACTCCTGTACTCCTATAATCCCAGTACTTTGGGAGGCTGAGCTGGGAGGATCACTTGAGGCCAGGAATTTGAGAACGGCCTAGGCAACACAGGGAGACCTCATCGCTGTAAAACAATTTTTTTTAAATAGCCGGGCATGGTGGTGTGCATCTATATTCCCAGTTACTCTGGAGGCTGAGGCAGAAGGATCTCATGAGCCCAGGAGGTTGAGGCTGCGGTGAGCCATGATGGTGCCACCCACCGCAGCCTGGGTGGCAAATTGAGACTCTCACTCAAAGAAAAAAAAAAGAGGTAATAGAGCTCCATGGCCCGGCTTGGGTTTGGCTCCTGGAGCTGTGTGAACTTGGACGAGTCATTCTCTTCGGCATCTGTGACATGAGGGCATGACTGCTCCCCCCACACCCCCCACCCAGGGCTGTCGCGAAGGTGGAGAGGGTGAGGATGGTCACACCCTGCTGTGAGTTCTCCGCCCTTGGCGACTGGCTGTGGCATGGCGGCTGGTGGTGGCCTGGTGGCCGGTGGTGACGTGGCTCCCTCATGGGCTGGGTGCCCTCCTGAGCATGTTTTCTGCTTCTGCCCGCAGTGCTGCAGGGTGTGGACAGCTCGCTGGTGGGCACGCGCAACCAGAGCTTTGCGCGGGTCATGGAGCAGCGCCTGGCCCGGCTCTTTGTGATGTCCCAGCAGCAGGGCCGGCGGTTCCGACGCGCCACCACCCTTGGGAGCTATACCGTGCAGGTGGGTGCACACAGGGCCACGGGGCTTCTGCCGATTGGGGGGCTTGTTTTCCCGAGAGGAGAGAGGTGGGTGTGTGCAGCGTCTGTAAAGCAGACCCAGCGGGCCTGGGATCCCCACTGCCCTGAACCCTGGGGTTGATGGTCAAGCCTGTCAGAGCGTGGTGGAGCGTGAGCGCCAGCCTCCTGTACCGCTGCAACTGGCTCGTGAGCGGAGGTCGCAGGACAGAGCTGCACACATGTGGGTGTTTGTGAGACAGAAAGTGGCTGGCAGGCAGGCAGCACCTCATCCCTGTGAGGTGCCATCGTCCCCTGTCCAGGAGCCCGCGAAGTCCAGCCCTCGGTGACTAAGCCTCTCGCCACCCTTCCTTGCAGCTGGGGCTGAAAGGCAGGACGGGTCCTCTGTGCCCGGTCTGTTTCAACAGGCTCGTCGTGGACACCAAGCCCGTGGGGGTGGGGGCCAGGGAGGGCGGCCGACGCTCGCGGTGACCACCCATGGCCCAACCACCTCCACGTGCCAGCTGGAACTCCAGCAGCCAGCCTCGGCCTCGCTGTCAGGCTGTTCCTGGGATGGCAGTGTCCACTTTGCTGGTGCCTGCTGGCCGGAAGTGCCAGGGGTGACCCAGCGATAGGGTGTCAGTGCCCAGCCTCTTGCCTCCCTGCTGCAGAATTCCAAAATGGATGTTTCCCGGCATTTCCAGAGCCTTCCTGCAGAAGGAAGCCTTAGTCTCCCCATGTGGTGATGGGATTAACAATGTACCCCTGAAGGCCACTCCTCCTCTCTCTGGCCCTGCCCAGGTCACCTCCTTGCCTCCAGCCCATCCCTGGCACTCTCAAATACCCAACACACACTTGCCTCTTCTCAGGGTCTGCTTCTGAGGCCAGTCCAGGCTGGCCATCCCAGGGGTGCAGAGTGGGAGCCCCCTGGATACCTTCTGCAGTCCCTGCAGGAGCGGGGCCCCTCTGGCAAATCCCAGCCATCCGTGTATCTTGAAAGCACTCACGTTGCCATGAGAAGCCGTCTCTTGCATGTGTCAGTCTGGTCTCAAAGCACGACTGAGCACAAGACAGCAGATCACAGAAGCGCTCCTGGGAGTGGTCCCTGGGGAGGAGACCTCCCGCTGGAATCCAGCCGAAGACCCCAGGCATGAGAATCCCTGGCTGGTCACCAGCCACGTCCAGGGTGCCCCAGAGACACATCCCATGCACAGTGTCACACGGTCAATGAGGAAGTGTTCTAAAGGGTGCTGTGGCCATCAGCCTGGGCCATCTGCAAGCCACATCCCTGGCGTTGCAACCACCTGTCATTGCCACGCCCCTGACAGAGACGCCAGCCCCTCCGTTCCCAGTGGGGAGCTCAGCCCTTTGTCCTGGGGGAAGTGCCTTTGGTTCTGAGTCTCTGTGGTCCAGGATGACCTCGTCACGAGGTGACACACGGGATCATTTCACCCATGAGTCTCATCCATGGGTTCCATGTGAGCCCTGTCTATAAGCTACGCTTCTCCAAGTGACAAGTAGGAAGTCACAGTGTGAGCTGGGCACCAGCCGACAGGGGAGCGAGGGCCGCCCTACGGTCCCTGTGTTGGTTGTAAACCTAAGAAACCCATCCTGCATGTCCAAGGGCCCCAGGAGATGTTCTCTTCTGCTAAATTTTCCTGCTGCCTGGAACGTCCAAGGGAAGAAGGTTACATCTGTCAATCCCCAGTTTTCAGACGTTTGACATCACCCCGAAAGAAGTCGTGGCACGAGGAATTTGCTGTTAGCTGAACTTGAGAGAAGTGATTAGCTCTCTGGATGATCATTCACCTTCTGTCTGGTCGAACCAACACTCCCTGATGCCTTGCCCGCTAGCGAAAGGAATCACAGGCCCAAGCCTCCCCCAGAAGTTCCCTCTACGTCACACACAGCCTCCTTCCCCCCAGAGGCCTTCCTTCTGGGCTCAGATCGTTTTAAAAGGTGAGCTGCCTGCATGAATATGGAGATTTAGACGTCTAGAATCTAAAGATATTTCTCCAGTTGACATATTTGTAAAATTGAGTCCTAAGAAAAAACTCGTGTGACCAATAAAGTTTTTTAAACGCTTGGCTTCATTTGTGCTCAAAGCAATGCAAGTTTTGACTACCACAAGATGCCGTTTTCACCTACCAGAGACTGGTGAAACGCTACCCTCTGGTGCTGGTGTGAATGCTGTGAAATGGACACTTTCAGACAGAGTCAACGGGCATGACCTTCCTGGAGGGCAAGTGAGGAGTTAGACAAGGACCTCTCAGAGGGTCACAGACTGGTTCCTAGAAGTTCCCCTCGAGGAGAGAGAGGCGAACACGAAGACAAAAGGGCGTGGGCAGTGTCTTCTGGAGGGTCAGAAATGGATCTCATTGGGTACCCTGAGGCAAAGGGGCTCTCTGACCAAACTGGGTTGGGCAAAACTGTATCCTATCGTTTCTTCTTAAAGATGTCCAAAGCCTACTTGCATCCCCAAGCTCTAAAAGGATCTGAAGTAAAGAAAGCCCCTAAATATTGTTCAACAAACTGGTTTCTGAGTTTAAATACCAATAAGACCCCTGTTTTTAATAATCATTTTTAATAATAGCTACATTTCTTCAACATTCTATGATTAACATTATCAAACTCACAAAAAAGTTTTAAAAACCACATGGTGAACACCATATACTCATAGCTAGGTTCTGCAGTGAACATTGTGAATGCCATGTTACTGTTTTATAGTTGATAACATGTCAGCTGGGCATGGTGACTCACACCTGTCATCACAGCACTTTGGGAGGTGGAGGTGAGAGGATTGCCTGAGCCCAGGGGTGCGAGACCAGCCTGAGCAACATAGCAAGATCTCGTCTCTGCAATAAATCAAAAAATTAGCCAGGCGTGGTGCTTGTGTATGGTTCCAGCTCCTTGGAAGGCTGAGGCGGAAGGACAGCCTGAGCCCAGCAGGTTGAGGCTGCAGTGGCTGTGAGCATGCCCCTGCACTCCAGCCTGGGCGACAGAGTGAGATTCTGACTCAAAAAAACAAAAGTATCATTTCCATACATGTTCCATAACATACCTTCCAACCCATAGATTGAGGTGAAGTACCATTTCTTGTAAATGGACTCCCACAGCATGTGCTCTTTTGTGTGGAGCTTGTGTACAATGTTTTGGAGACTTACCCATGCTGTTGTGTTATTCAGCAGCTTGTTCACTTTTATTACTGAGTAGTGTTCTGGTGTGAAAGCACTACCACCTATTTATCCATCTTTCTGTTGATGGACACCTGGGCTCTCTTCAGTCTGCAGCCATTGGACAAGGCTGCTAGGAACAGTCTTCTATAACTCCTTTTGAGAACACATGTTTTGCTCTCTCTAGGGTATGCAGGAATGGAATTGCTGGCTCCTGGGTGGGTGCATGTTAGTTCAATATGAAACTGCCATATCTTTCTCCAAAGTGTTTGTGCCATGTGCACTCCCGCCAGCCAGTCATGGCATTCTAGTTGCTCCACGCCCTCATCGACACTTGGTGTTGTCAGTCCTTCTTATGTTAGCCATCCTGGTGGTGTACTTTGGTGTTGTGTGGTTTTAATTTGAATGTCCCCATTGAGCTTATTGGCTACTCAGATGTCTTCCTTTGTGAAATGTCTGATCAAATCTTTTGCCCATTTTTTATTGGGTGTAGTAAGAATTATTGTTTAATTGTTATATATAGTGTATACAAAGTGTACGTGAAATATGCAGAGCTTAAAGAGCACTGATAAGGAGAACTCACAACCGCAGGGGTATGAATGTGGCCCTTCCCTTACCCAGGAGCTTCCAGGTGTCTTCTCTAACAACACCCCTTCCCTCCCTTCAGAGTTGAGCGTGATCTTCCATTTTGTATTAAATCATTCTCTGGTTTTCTGTGTAGACTTTACCACGTGTGTGTCCCTGAGTAGTACACTGTGTAGTGTGTCTGTTTTTGGGTTTCATATTCCGTGATGTCTTCCTTTTGCCCAACAGTCGGCTTGTGTGTCCATCCCTGTGGATACTGACAGTCATCAGGCCTTCATTTTCACGACTCGACAGTCTTCTTCGCAAGGCTGCACATAGCTCACGTATCCAGCCTACCATTCATGACTCCAATTTCCCTTCACATAAACAGTGATGGTTCATTTCTGTAATCTCCTCTAACATCCTAGGAAACGCATAATCTTTAATATACACTTTGGAAAATACTAGCCTATCGCGTTTATCAGTTGTTAATTGCAACAGCAAAAAGTTGATAACCCACATGTTCAGTAATCAAGTGAGTTGGATTTACCAGGCATGCACCCAGTAGAACATTAATTCATGTTTTTGTCTTTATGATTATCAGTTTTTAATTATAATAGTACAAAATTAGTAACAACCTCAATGTCTGATAATAAAGGATTTGTTAAATAAGTTTAGGTGATGCATCGAAATGCCATGTAGAAATAAACATTTATGCTTTTGTTATATTTAAGGTCCTTTAAAGATTCAAGTGAAAATTGTAAGATATTATGTATAGACTATGATGGCTAATTTTATAAAAATAATTTTAAAAGGTTTGCGTGGGGAAAAAAAATAGAAGCTAGTACTGTAAAATGATAAAAGTAATTCGCTTGGGGTGAGGGGATTATAGACTGCTTTTATTTTATTTCATTTCTTGATGCTTTTTCGTATTTTAAAATTCTTCTATATTGAATATATATGACTTTTAGAGTCAAAAAAAGCAAAGATATTATTTTAGAGAAATAACTTTGATTTCCAAGTGCTTTTATCAGAGATCTTTTGAATTGCAGCCATATAAGTTAATTTTGGGGGCTTTCTGAAGTTGAAAGCCTTGTTTGAGAATAATCTAACGTACCCTGAATTAAACATGGAGGCCTTTTTTCAAACGAGGTCAGGGTTTTATGGAGGCTGGGTGTCTGCAGTTCGTGCTTCCTTCTTCAGCCTCAAACTGCTCTTTCCAGACATCCATGTTTAAAAGCCCTTTCTTCTCCCCCCAGTCTCCTGCTCCCTAAAATACTGGGTGGAGGGAGGCACGCAAAGCTTGGCACCTACTGCATGCGTTGTGGGTCTGGCTAGCCACGGAAGCCTCCACGGCCAGGTGAGGAGCACCCAGGAGCCAGCGGGGTCAGTGCAGGATGACCTGTAAACTCTCGGCCTCTCTTTCCCCGCAAGATGGTGAAGATGCAGCGTGTGCCCGGCCCCAAGGACCCAGTGGAGCTGACCTACTACACCCTGTACAACGGGAAGCCTCTGCTGGGCACCGCCGCGGCCAAGATCCTGAGCACCATCGACTCCCAGAGGATGGCCCTGACCCTACACCATGTCGTCCTGCTGCAAGCTGACCGTAAGGGCACAGCCGCGTGTCTCATGCCATGGCGTGCTTCCTGCAAAGGGGGGCGATTTCCCTGATGCATGTCAGGGGTCTCGGAGCTCTCAGCACTTTTCCTCTGGGAAGGCTGGTCCGTCAGTCGGCTGTGTCTCCCGTGCTGTCTGAAGCAGGTTTCGGGCAAAGGGCGGGGCTGGGATGTTGGAGAGATGGGAATGCGAGCACTCTGCCCCGAGTCCTCCCTGCTCTCCTCCTCGGTGTGACAGTCACCCTGGCTGAGACTGTTTTTGTGTGGTGGGGACTTGAGGACGGACACATGCTTACAGAGCTGTGCATGCCCTGCACTGAGGGCTGGGCCAGGATGGGTGGGCGAGGCCTGGTTCTGCCTTCAGGAAGAAGCGAGGGGGGCCCACGCAGTCGCAGTGGGATGTGAGACAGGAAGGCCCATGGTGCAGGCTTCGTGTGCCTGGCAGGGACCTCGGGAAAGGCCGAGCGGGGTGTGGAGGGGATCAGAAGGGGCAGCCACCTCTGTGGACACCCTCCGCCCGCCGCCATCCCTGGGTTTTCTCCTGTTCTACCCTCACTGGGGCAACACTCACTCAGAGCCGAACTGCAGGAAGGGAAACTGAGGCTCAGAAGAGTTAGAGGGCCTGCTCAGCATGGCAGAACAAGGGCTTGGTAGTCAAGACACGAGGTTGGGTCTGTCTGTGCGAACCTGTGTAGTTCACTGTTACTCGCTGAGATTTCAGCAGGTGGTGGGAGGGACGTGTGCCAGGGGACCCCCCAAAACCTGGAATTACCTTTGAAGGGCGGGCCCCTTGTAGTCCAGGCTTCCCCTGCTAGGTGAGTGTTCCAGGAACCCATCGGCATCCATGCACCAGCTAGTGTTGTTGTGAGAGGCTGTGAGAGGCTTCGGGGAATTTTTTTGGAGACTTTTCGATGCATTTGCCCATTTCCCGATGAGTGATTGAAGCTCACACCTGCCCCCACCATGCCGAGTGCTCACAGTTTATGCCCCCAAACGGCATGACCCCGTGCCCCACCCTCCCTGTTCACCCAGTCTCACCTCCAGCGACTCTTTTGTGTTTCCCCTGAGGAAAAAAGCCCTCCAAGGGCTGATGTGGAAGCGGCGAAACAAGAAACGGCAGAAACACTCAAAGGCATCCAAATGGACGAGTCCAAAAACTGTATTGCTCAGTGGACAAAGCATTTCGATCGGTATATTGCCTCAAAAGGAGAGGACTTTGAGGGTGGCTGAAGTTTAGACACGCAGGAGTGAATGCACCGTGTTTCGTGGCGAAGAGACCCGGAGGTGTGACTGGAGTGGGGAAGGCACAGTGCGTGGGGGCCTCGGCCTCCAGTGACCGGGAGGGAGGTGGCCACAGCAGGTCTCTGAGCTGGGAGCAAGGCCATTGGAACTGTCTTTGTCAGGCTCCAGGCTAGTCGGGCTCCAGGGCCTGGGATGGGAGGAGGCAGGAGGCCGCAGGGCCCATGGGAAGGCTCTGTGGTGTCCCTGGCACTGGGGACCCAAAGCTAGAAGGGTGGGGAGTGCACAAAGCTGGGAGACTGTGGTGGAAAGTTGGGTCTCTGGCAACACGCTGGCATAGAAGACCGTCAAGGCACCACCCATGGGCTTCTGCGCGAATGTTCACACCCGTGACACCGTGTTGTCTGAGCTCCTGGAGAGCCTGGCAGCCTCCTCTTGTGCCCTCCGAGGGACGCTTGCCTCCAGGGTCTGGACTGCGTGATGCCCCACGGGCCAGCCTGTTCTCACAGACCTGCCTTCCAAGGGTGGCGCTGGCCACTGCCCTCTTGACTCTGAAGTTCTTAACTGAGACCCTCCTCCTCTGCCCCCCACCACCCTGTGGGCTCAGCCTCGCCTCTGACGCCCGCCTCCCCTCTCTGTCTGTGAGCCCTCCTGCTGGGTCCCCCAGGGTCCTGTTTACCTGTTATCTCCTCGTGTGGGGAATACATCGTAGATGGGGGACGGAGGAGAGGGAGGGGAACCCATGGCAGAACCCAGCAGGGGATGGAGGTGCTGAGGGTGACAGAGAAGGACAGGCAAGGCTCATGCGGGGTCAGGGCGGAGGACAAGACCGTGATTCTGGACGTGGTGGAGGAGGAGGGCATCCCGGGGACCCAGGGTGACCTGGGCGCTGACCTGAGCCCTGGGAGTGCTTGTGGAGGGTCAGAGGGTGTAGGACAGAGGGTTGGGGGACTGGGCTGGGCCGGTAGGGCTGGAGCCGAGATTTGAGTCTAGATGTGCATGGTGACATCCCACAAACAGTGACACGTAGAGCCAAGGAAGTGGGTGAGGACCACGAGAGGGAACCAGAGGAGGAAGGAGAGACCGAGTGCTGGGTCCACACGGGGCACACGAGAGCTGGCAATGGACGCTGACCAGGAGGCGGGTGGTGGGAGGAGGGTGGGGACGGCCCTCATGGAACGGGGGAGCCGCCACACCAGACTGTGTCCGAGGGGGATGGCAGCAGATGGGGTCTGGCACCACAGAGCTCGTGGCCTTGGCAGGAGAGAAGGGCGTGGGAGGGACAGCAGGGTGGGGGTGAGCCCTGACTGCTGGGAGGTGGCAAGGGGCACGGGGCCAGTGTTTGGCAGATGCTGGCTGGGGTGCCACCTGGCGGGAGACGTGACAACATGCAGGGAGTCACGGGGTCACGGGAGCAGAGCCCTGAGTGGACGGGATGGGGACGTGGGGCCTTCTGCTATGTGATGGCGAGGCAGAGGGGCCGGCGGAGGGCGTCTGAGAACACAGAGCAGCTCTCACAGGCTGCCGGAAGACAGGCTGCTGCCTCCGCCGTGGCCCTCAATACTGGTCCAGCCCGTTTCTCCCCGTCTCCTGAGCCTGGAGGCACCCATCCCTCACCTCAGCGCCCCTGGGCACCCTTGCCCCTCACGGAAGACTTTCCCACCTGGCCTGGGTCCCTCTGTGCCATCTCGTGTCCCAGTGGCCCACGACTTTGGCCGGTCTGTGCAGCCTCCTTGCTGGATCCCTCTGCCAGGCGCAGAGAGAGGCCTGCGGCCAGAGGACACCGTGGCTGGGGAGCAGAGCCAGCAATGTGTGACCTTGCTCAGCCCTCCCTCACGCTCACTAGCAGCACAACTTGTGCTCAAGGAGTCAGCGTCTCTGACCTTCATTTTCCTCCTCTGCAAAATGGGAACATGAAAACACCACCCCGCCGGGCCACCCGGGGAGCTGAGAGGGGCTGTCCAGCGCCTGTTGAGCGCATGGCACGTGGCAGCAGAAGGTCTCCTCTGTCTATGGGGGGAGTGATGCAGGGCGGGAACCCCAAAACTGGCCCCGCCTGAGAGGCCGGTGGGTTCTTGGCTTCACATAAGAATTCACAGCGAGCCGATGAGGTGAAGTGACAGCAAGTTGGCTGAAAGAGAAGAGGAGAGGGAGGAATGCTCCCCGTAGACAGGGCAGCTGGAGTGAATTTTGAACGGATTCCTTCTCCCTTCCACATGTGCTCTGTGTGACGATCATGTGCTCCTTGTGTAGGTAATTTGGACCCTTTGACTTCCTTCCTATTGACACATACGTGTGTGTGCATGTGTGTGTGTATGCACGTAAACACGTACCTCCACCCATGTGTGTTAGCTCAGAGCTGACGTAAACTCTGTATTTCAGAGAAATGATCTTTCACAAAAATATCTGAGTTCCTGGGGCTGTTTCCTCACCTGCAAATCGGGGTAAGAGCAGCACGCAGGCAGGGACTGTTACACGCCTGCATGTGGCGGGCACGCAGGACACGTTGTCTTCTCTTCCTGTCTGTGCCCCTCTGGAATCCCCGCGGTGTGAGGCCTGCCCCTCCCTTCTGTCCTGTGGACGTGGCATGGCACCAGCCAATGCTGGCCGAGCCGGACTCTTCTCTGACCAGTTGATGAATGTATTGATGTGTGGGGATGAATCTGTTTTTCCCCTTTAGATAGGCATGAGGGGATTTCACATGTTGTGCCAAGAGGAACGCATGCCCAAACAGCAAAACTGGGGGAAAGCAGGATGTACACGTTTCATTCTTGCTCATGAAGACTGTGGGTATCTATTTATCTGTTTGTTGAGGGCATACAGCAAAGCACGATGTATATTTCCTCCCTCAGCATAGAGTAGCCCAGCCAAAAAGAGGCATATTGATATTTTTCACAGAAGCCCTAAGCTTTAAAACATGCTAATGATGTAAGACTCACTCGTAAATACTGAATTACTAAAAGCAGGAGCAATGAAGTGTTTAATGTCAACAGAGCCCCATTATCTAATGAGCTGCTTTCAGGAGCTAATAACGTGGTTAATCCCTGATGGGCAAAGGCCGGGCGTGGAAGCTCCTGTGTGCGAACCACGCCTGAGCCTGAGGCCGGCGGGGTGAGAGGCAGGCCTTGGCTCGTGGCCTGGAGTTGGGTGGTGAAGTCGGAGCCGGGCGCCTCGGTGGGCCTCACCCGGGCGCTGACAGGTGGGGCCTTCATACTCCAGGGTCTGAGAGGCTCAGGAGGACCAAGCCATGCCACCCGTGGCCATGAGACCAGATGGCCAGCACATGGGTTGAAAATCCAGACTGCAGCTCCCACGGGCCAGGCCTCCTGCTGATTGACCAACTCGCTGTCCTGCAGGGGCACCTGTCGGGAGCCCGTGTCTGTGTCCTTAACCTGAGACTGAGCACCGACTGCGTGCCCAGCCCTGGGGCAGGTGCTGGGATGCAGCCTTAAGCATGGGAGCTGCCCCTGCCCCTTGGCTTGTACATTCTCACGGAGGGGCGGGGAGACAGACCCAAACCACGTCAGATGGTGACACGTGCGCTGAGCCTGGCCACTCCTTGCAGCGGAGTGGGGGCTGCCACGTGGGCATCACCTGGGAGCCGGCTGGGAAGGTGGGATCACAGGACCCCAGCCCCCACCCTCCGTGAGCCCACCTCTGGACAGGACCCCAGGGACTGGTGTGCACATGACAGTCCGGGAAGCGCTGCTTTAGAGGAAGACTGCATAGGCCAAGGTGGGCAGGGAATTCCTGGGACGGGGGCCCTGAGGCAGTGGGGGAGGGAGCCGTGTGAACACCCAGGCCAAAAGCGTCCAGGTGCAGGTGGAGTCCGTGCAAAGACCCTGTGTCAGGAGCACACCTGTGTGTTTGAGGACAGCAGGGGCGGTAGGACTGTAGCGGAATGAGTTCAGGGACGAGCAGGAGGCTGTGAGGCGAGGAGGCTGGGAGGTGGGGACAGATCACTCAGGGTCTTGCAAAAGGAGCAGACTCTGGCTCCTGCTCTGAATGCGGCCAGGGCCTCTGCAGGGTTTTGAACAGAGGAACGTCAGATGTGACATTCTGCCAGGTGGTGAACAGACCGTCGGGGACAAGGGGCAGGAGGAGGGTCCCTGCATGGTCAGGCGAGGGGTCTGGCTGCGTGGAACGCAGCTGGAGCGGGGGAGAGCCAGGACTAAAGCCAGCCTGGGTGCGTGTTGTGGGTGACGGGGACGGTGTGTTGATGGGTCAGATGTCGGGTGAGAAAGGTCAGTGTCGACGCCAAGGTCATAGACCGGGCAGCAGAGGGTCGGGCTGCCGGTTGTGGGGTGAGGAATGTCTCCAGGAGAGCAGGTTGGGGTTGAGAGCCGGGATCTGGACTTCACAACGTGGCAGCCATGTGGCATGTCCACTGGAGACTGAGCTGGCGACTGGATGTGCAAGAGGAGTCCAGGTGGCGTCTCAGCTGGAGACAGGCACGTGTGCGTGACTGCAGCCCCACTCTGGTGGCATTTAAGCCGGGAGTCCTGAGGTCACCCTGGGAGTGAGGCCAGCTGGGCCGCGTGTCAGACGGTGTCACCCAGCTGAGGCAGGCGCTTGCTGCTGCCTGGCCCGCCACCATGGACCCACATTCAGCCAGCTCAGCCACGCCTGTACTGACTTCAGTCCCCGGCGTGGTCAAGGCCCACCTGCCCCCAGAGTCTCCTCCTCTGGCCTCCCCCAGACCCCACTCCCTCCCCACCAACCGCCGCTTGGTCGCTGTCCTGTCTGCGCCACTGCCGGGACCCAGTGGCTCTGTGAGTGGAATGACGTTGTTTCCCAGAGCCCCACCCGTGACCTCTCCTTACATTTCCCTGACCCAACTTGCCAAGAGGCTGAAGGGTCTGCTCAGTGACCCCACACACCCATCAGTGGAGCCTCCTCTAGCCTGTTCCTCCTCCCCTCGTCCACAGCCCACCTTGGGTCTCAATGCAGTTCCAGGTGAGTCGTGGCACTGGTGGGTTTCACCCCGCACACAGAGTGTGCGTGTCCTGGACTGGAGCTCAGTGTTCATGAGGTCTCAGGTGAAACAGACTTCAGTGAGATCCACAGATCTCAAGCACACGGCGTGATGGGCGAGGGCAAACGTGGCCACCTGTGTGGTCCGGGCCCTGCTGCCCGCCCAGGTCACTCATTCCAACCCAGCCCCGACCACCTCTGTCCTGACATCACCTTCCCTCTCCCCACGGGTACTGTGGTGACTCTAGTCTCTGCTCCAGTTCTGAGCATGGCCCTGCCCCTGCTACTAGACGGAGGCAGCCCTGGCCTCCACCAGCTGGGCTGGGGAGACCACCCGCCCACATGACGTCTCACCCCTCAGCCCCTCGCAGGCTGACTTCATGACGCCATTCCGTCATGGCTCCCCACTCTCGCCTCCTGACTCCGCAGTCACTTCCAACCCTCAGATTTCTTTCCTCGGTTTCTCTTTTGACCCTGGACCTCCCCACTCGGTCCCAGCACTGGTGGGGAGAACGATCCGTCTTTCTTCGCTCCTCCTCCTGACAACAGCGGAGGCTAGCATTTGGTGAGCAGCTCCCAGGAGCCACACCCGCAGCCCCCCCAGTGAGCCCACTTTACAGACGAGGATGCGAGGCTCCCAGGCCGGGACCCCACAGCTATGGTGGCGGCCCCTCCAGACTCCGTGCTCCCTTTCCTCACAGCTGGGGGCTCGGGGAGCGCGTGCCCTCCGCCGGCTCCCGGTCACGTGCTCCCTGCTGTCTCTCTGCAGCCGTGGTGAAGAACCCACCCAACAACCTGTGGATCATTGCAGCGGTGCTGGCGCCCATCGCCGTGGTCACGGTCATTATCATCATCATCACGGCTGTGCTGTGCAGGAAGAACAAGAACGACTTCAAACCGGACACCATGATCAACCTGCCCCAGAGAGCCAAGGTACGCGGGTGCGATGGGGGGAGGGGGGCTGGGGGGGGCTCTGCCGCCGTGACCCTTGTGGTGGGAGGCCGCTGCGGGCGCCCTGGGAAACATGGTCACATGTCCTGGTATAGAGAGACGCTCTGGCGTCGGGGCTGAGAGGTCACGCTTACCCAAGGGCGCCCCAGCGCTCCACAAGCCGCCACCATCTAGTTCTGATGAGGAAACTGAGGCACAGAAAGGCAGGGCTAGAGAGACCCAAAAGGGACCTTCAAGATCACTGACCAGACTCCCTCCTTGCATGTGGAAGTCCCTCCTTCCAGGCCATACGGTAGGGAAGTGGCAGAGTCGATGGTGGGACTAGGTCTGCCATGGTCTGAATGCTTGTGTCCCCAAAATCCTGACCCCTGGGTGATGGTCTTTGGGGGGTGAGGCCGTGAGGGGGACTCCCCAGGAACGGGATGAGTTTCTTGTCAAGGAGACCTGGAACTCTCTTCCACCCATGTGAGAATGCCGGAGGCTAGCAGCCTCGGCCCAGAAGGCCCTGACCAGAACTGGCCACGGGTGCCTCGCCCCCAGCCTTCCAGCCTCAGAACTGTGAGAAACAAACTCCTTGGTTCAAAGTCTGTGGTGTTTTGCTCCAGCAGTGCCAGCCGACGAAGACAAGGTCTCCTGGCTCCCCACCAAGGCTCACTGAGGGCACAGGAACCCCTCAGACCTCTCCTCGCCCCGTTGGCTGGAGTGGCCCGTCTCTAGCGGCAGCCATGGTGGACAAGTGGGGCTTGACTGGCACCAGCAGACTCCAGCTCGACAGCTCCACCCAAGCCTGTTTGTGGCTCATCCTCCCTCTGTGGTCTCCACAGCTGTGTGCCCTCCACTGTTGGTGACTGGGAGGGACCTGGGCTGGGAGCTCTGAAGGGCTGGCTGTCCAGCTGCATGGCCCTCACGGTCGTCCCTGGGCATACACCAGCTGCAGCGTGAGGTTAGATGGCACCGTCCCATGGGCCGGGTTCATCTAGGTCTGTCCATCACAACTGCCCTGCGAGGGGGTCGTGGCCAGGGAAGATTCCATTCTCCCCATTTGAAGAAGCCCAAGGGAAAGGAGAGACGTGAGGAGTCTCACAGCCACACGGGAGTCTTCCGGCAGCTTCTATACTGAGCCCTACCTGACCTGGCATGTGGCAGGTGGATCTGTTCCAGCCCTGAACCTTGAGCCCCATCTACCCGGCAGGAACAAAGAGGTCCTCCCCCACCACTGTCCCATGAGTGCACCCGCCTCAGAGATGTCCTGGAGGTCCCACATGCCTTGGTTCTTTCTGGGTGGACACCTCGCTTCAGCGAAGGAATTCAAAGGATTTGTGTTGTGGCCAAACCGGTATGCCCGCTGCAAGCCTGAGCTTGGCCCCTGTCTACAAAGGGGCCAACCCTGAAGGATGTTCTGTTTCCGTCAACATGAAGGCAGCTGCTTCCCAGACGTCGCTGGGCGGCAGTGAGACAGGACGCTGGGAATCGCCAAGCAGAGGGAGGAGAAACCCATTCTGGAAGGGGGACTTCATGTCCATCCCAGCTCAGGGACAGCAGGGGCCTTCCAGACACCGCAGAACCCAGCAGAACCCAGCAGCCTCCAAGTCCCTGAAGGCACCCACGCCACACTTAGGTGTACACGGCGTGTCTACATTACAGTTAAGCCAAAGTCCATTCACCTGCTGCGAGGGGAAGCGACGCCTTCTGGCTGGAACACCATCTGAGGCTGGGACTGTGAAGGGTGTGTCTCTCCGAGGCTCCGTGTGTCCCTACCTATATCCCGTGTGTCAAAAGACACCCAGCCGGCATTGGGAACCAGCAGAGTCACATCCCAGGGACTACTGGATCCCCAGCTGTGGGGGGGAGCCGGGCCCGCGTGAAGCTAGTGCCACCCTGACTCCCAAGCCCCCTCATCACAGGATGCCAGGGGGTGGGACCACCTCTCTTTCATGGCCCTTCTGTCGCGACAGCCCCGGAACCGCGGGGCTGGACAGGGGAGAGATGCCCACACCGTCTCCTACAGCCTGTCCTGTGAGCTGAGCTCGGTGAATGCCAAGGGGCCAGGGAGATGAAAGGGTGCCCCTGCCGACGGTGCCTAGACGAGAGGATGATGGTCCCAGGCTGCCACATGTCTCGTGCCAGGCTGTGGTGCCCAAGGGCGCCAGGTCTTTCCTGGGACTCGTCCTAGGCTGGCCTGCAGAGGCAGTGGGTGTGGCCTTCAGGGCAGGAAGGAGGCGGGAACAGCACACCCTTCCCCAGGACGGGGCACCACAGACATGCCTGTGCCCATGCTGTGAGCCAGTCTCCGCAGGCGATGGAGAGTTGGCGACAGGCAGGAGGCCGGGCATCCCGACGTCTCCCCGCCTCTCCCCGCTCACGCCTATTGTGAGCTCTGCTCCTGCTTCCCAGTGTTTCCTTCACAGGGTTGACGAGAACACGGCCCAAGAACACGATAGCCTCGAGAGAAAGTGGCTAGGTCTTCCCCAGACGTGGGCTGGATTCAGAGGCCCATGGTGGTCAGCAGGGACATCCACTGGGGACAGTCCAGCAGCCCCAAGGACAGCCAGCTGTCTCCTCTCCCTCACATCCTGTCTGTTGACCACAGGGAAGGCACTTCACCTCGGTGTGCCTCCGTTTCCCCATCTGTAAAATGGGGACTTGTGATTCCTGTCCCCTCGAACTTTTCGTGGCTTCATGGACGTCTCATGTCATCCCTGCACCTGTAGCATCCGTGAGGCTGGGCCTGCGAACTCCTGGCAGGGGAAGAACTTTTATCCTCAGCCCCAAGCACAGTCCCTGTCATCGGAACAGATGCGAATGGAATGCAGGAGGACGTGGCAGGGGGAGGGCTGAGCAGGCAGGTTCAGTGGGCAAATGAAGGGCCTTGAACGTCGGGCCAGGGAGCCCAGGTACGAGGACACATTCTGAATGCGGGCGTAATGTGGCAGGTGTGGCTTCAAGGGGGGCCTGGCAGGGCCAGCAACGAGCCAGAGGCAGGAGACCGTGGATCAGGGCGCTGGGAAGGAAGGCCACCTTCGAGACATGGCTCAGAAGACAAACCCACCGGGGACCTGCTGGCCAGTGGGTGGGGCACACAAGGGACACCATCAAGGCCGCAGAAGTGCCGTTCCATCTCTCGGGGCACCAGGACGGGGAAGAAAAAGAAGACGCAGTTCGGAAACTCAGCCCCACGTCCGCATCAGAAAGCCACTGCCACCGCGTGGGCCGTGCGTGTCTCCGGGAGGGGGGACCTTGCTTCCCAGGGCACCAGGGACCCACAGCCACAGAGCTGTGTCCGCCTCACACTGGCGCCTGGTCGGATTCAATGAGAGGTCCTGGCCATGCGTCCACCTCTGAAATGGCCAGACATTGCTTTGACAATCACACAAAATGCGTGGAAGTGGCCACGGTCACTTCATGATGTGAGTGACTGGAGTTGGGAGTTCAACGTGCAACGGACGCCTCGCAGGTGATTTTCAAGCAGAAGGTTGAGAGGCCTCTGCCCTGAGAAAGGGAGGACCTGGTCTTGGTCCTTCCGCAATTTGCTGTGTGATCTCGGGCAGCCACGGAGCCTCTCTGTAAAACAAAGACTGCGATGTTTGCCCTGCCCACCTGGTGGGTTTGTCATGAGGAAAAAATGAGGCGCCAGTGTGTTTCATGCCATAAGTGGACATTACACAGGGACTGTCGTGTTCACGACATGGGAGTAAGTGACCTAGCTTGTCCTTCTTAGTCTCTCTCTCTGCACACTCCTCGTTGATCCACACAGGGTGAGGCTGGATAGACCGGGCCACAGTTCTAGCAGGGACTGTCTCATCTGGAGTCCTGTGGAAGGTGGAGCGTCCGGCCACCCTGTGCTCTGCTGGCCCCTAAAAGGCAGAGCCTGAGTTCCAGCCCAGAGGGTCTGAGAGCGACCCCAATGCCTGCTCACCTGGAATGGGATTTGGGAAAAGAAAGACAGCAAGATCGAGCAGGGACCAAGCAGAACACTGGCCTTTCACCCTCGGCCTCCCTGCGAGGGGTGCTGGCTTTGGATCGTGCTCACGGGCACACCTGGCTTATCTTGTGTGCGCGTTTATCACCTCCGCCTTACAGATGGAGACATGGACATGCAGAGAGTTCCAGCGCCACCCCTGAGGTCCCACGTCGGGCTGGAGCTTGAATTTTGGGCCGTGTGTTCAGCTGCCGCGCTTGCTGTCTGCCTGTGCACCGCTGTGGGCTGGGAGGCGGAGCGGCCCCAAGGCGCTGCGTCCACACATGCCTGGGATTTCCTCGCCCCCTATGGGTGCCTACAGGGTCCTGGTCAGAGCGCCTGACGCACTTGGGACCTCAGACACTGTGGTGCACCCGTGCCAGGACGAATTCCGGGAGAGCCACCTGCTTCAGGGAGAGGCTGACTTCAGGGCAAGCCCCCAAACTCCATCTCATCGCTGGTGGTCGCTCAGCTTGCATGGGTGGCACAATCCCCCCATCCCCACCCCGGGATCCATGATGACGCTCCAGGCCTTGGAGGCCAAGTGGATGCCATCGTCTTCATTTCTCAGATGAGGAAAGTGAGGCTCAGAGTTCAAGCCACCTGGCCAAGCCACACCCTTGCTACACAGAAAGCTGAGGTGGGGGGAAGGGGTGGCCAAGGACTCCTAGGCAGGAGGTGACCCAGACCTGTTTAATATCCCCTAGGAGTGCAGTATCAACTGAGTTAAAGCCAGGGCCTAAAATCCTCTGGAAGCCGGATATGGTGGCTCACACGTGCAATCCCAGCACTCTGGGAGGCTGAGGTGGGAGGATTGTTTGAGACCAGGAGTTTGAGACCAGCCTGGGCAAGAAAGCAAGACCCCATCTCTGCAAAATAAAAAATTTAAAAAATTAGCTGAGTTGTGGTAGTGTGTGCCTGTAGTCCCAGCTACTGGAGAGGCCGAGGTGGGAGGATCTCTTGAACCTAAGTGGCTGAAGCTACAGCGAGCTGTGACTGTGACACCACCCTGCAGTCTAGGCAACAGAGCCAGACTCTGGCTCAGTCAAATAATAAAACTAAGATAAAATCTTTGACCGAAGTGAGTTCTTACCACCGTCTGCATCTCGTTGGCACCCTTCATTTCTCCGAGCGCACTTTGCCTATAGAGATTGTGTCTGGGTGGAACTAACACAGATCCCAGCCTTCAGGGACGGCAGTCCTGAGGCTCTGGGTCACCCGGTTCGGCAGAGCTGAGTCTGGTCCCACTAGCCTGGGCGGCCTGTCGTCTGCCACCTGGGAGAGCCTTGCTCTTCGGGAAATGTGACCGCAAACCCTTCCTCTCTGCAGCCCGTGCAAGGCTTCGACTACGCCAAGCAGCACCTGGGACAGCAGGGTGCGGACGAGGAGGTCATCCCCATGACCCAGGAGACGGTGGTGCTCCCACTGCCCATGAGGGACGCCCCCCCAGACAGGGACATGGCGCACGACGGGAGCACCATCAAGACAGCCAGGTCCACTGATACCAGGAAGAGGTAGGCACGGGTGACCCCTGCCCCCAGTCCGCGAGGGAGTAGCTGAGGTGTGGATGGCTCGTGCCCCGGGCTGACCCTGCTGTCCTTGCAAAGTCCACTTCGAGCTCGTGTGAGCATGTGAGAAGGGGACAGCACGAGTGACCACACCTGCTGGGGGGAGCCACATCCTAAGGTTTTACATCTCTGCTGACCACCACAGCAGTGATGTGACTCTCATGCCTGCCGTAACCACCTTGGCACTGATGTCACACTTACATTTTTAGCATATCAAAAGCAGTGCCTTCAAGTAGGCCGTGGTGGCTCACACCTGCAATCCCAGCACATGCGGAGGCTAGTGGGGAGGAGTGTTTGAGTCCAGGAGTTCGAGGCCAGCCTGGAAAACCTAGCAAGACCTTGTCTCTATAAAAATAAAAAAAATTAGCTGGGCATGGTGGTTCCAGCTACTCGGGAGGCTGAGGTGGGAGAATCATCTGAGCCCAGGAGGTCAAGGCTGCGGTGAGCTGTGATCGTGCCACTGCACGCCAGCCTGGGCAACAGAGTGAGACTCTGACTCCAGAAAAAAAAATCAGTGCCTTTGATCCATGATAATTGTATTTTAACTGAGAATTTCTCAAGTGATTTCCATCAAAAGTGTTTATTCAGCTTCTGCTATGGACAGAGAATGTTGACAGGCATGAGAAGTGTGGATGGTTGCTTCCCGACCTCAAGGAGCAGGAGGACACAGAGAGAAGCTGCTGGAACACTGGCAGGGAGGGTGGGAGCCCACAGGGGGTCCGCAGGGGTTCGGAGAAGACAGGAGGGGGAACTGGAGGCTGGGGGGGAGGGCGCCATG